AACCCCCTGCTCATCCGCTCTGCCACCCGCGCGGCAGGGGTCGGTGCCCACAGGCCCCCAATCTGCAGGCAGAGACCCCGCAAAACCCACCCACCTCCTCGCGATTCAAAGCAAATTAGCACCTCCCCACACTCCTCATTCAAAAACACCAACTCCCACCACGATGCTGTTTTCGCTAACCAGGGGATTACCCCACCTCCCGCGAGGCAGGGGCCAAAAAGCCCCGCGAAACCCACCCACCTCCTCGCGATTTAGGGTAAAACCCCTCCCTCGATTCTGCATACACCCCCTACGAATGATTCACTGCCCTCCATGACGAAGCCCTGGCGGGGTGATGCTCACCACACAACCGCAAAAATTTAGATGATAACAGGACACCAGCCTAGCGGATAAGATGAAGCCCAAACCCATTTCAACATCTCAGCGGTAATACCCTACCTCCCGTGCGGCAGGGGTCGAGGACCCCGCAAACCCACCCACCTCCTCGCGATTTAGGGAAAACCACTACCACTAATCTGCGCCGTCTCACAAGGAAACACCACTGCCCACCATAATGGCGATTCTACAGAGCGGCACTCTCTTACTCATCTTATCGCATGCAAAAAACGCTATACTAAAGTTGCAACAAATCACTGCAGCTATTACCCAACCAAAACCAAGAAAAACACCAGAAAACCATATATGACCCCCGCCCTAATCTAATAAAACCACTGACTCACTCACTCATACACTCACTCACACATACACTCTCTCAAAGCCCTAAGACGGGCCACAACAGGTGAACGCTCCGAAGTCGAGAAGTCAATTAGCGCTCCAGGACCTGGAGATCGTAAACAGAACTGTCCGTTGAACGGCGGAAGTCCCGCAGCAATCTCTATTACTCCTGTCACCATCACATTCGTGGGCTGACCCTGACAAGATGTCAGGGCAGGAGACCCCCGCAAAAGCCTCCGTATCAGAGACCGAGGGGCATAGCCCCCGATCAGTCTCGTCAGGTATTGTGCAGCATCCGGATCCCACCCGCCGATGGGCCCCACATATCGCCCTCTCCTTCCTCCACCGAGCTAGGATTCTTGACGAAGTCAAGTGAGACCAGTAATGACCAGGAGCGTATCACAGCTCCCTCGGCACGCCCCCCAAACACCCCCGTGTTCCTCCCTGCGCCGCCATGGTCACCCCTACGCCAAGTTCTGGCAATCGGAGCAGACAGATTCCGTTGACCCCGTACGCGATCCCCCAATGCCCGAATGCTGCTACTGAATACAAGCAACTTTTGCCTTGGAGTCATATTCAAATTCGTAACCAATCACGAGTTAAAAATCAAAAACCGAATTTTTTTTTTTTTCTTTTTCTTTTTTACGAAAAACATTATTTTCGCCCGAACATGTTTGCGAGCTGTTCGCGCGAACATGAAGGGGGCGAACACGTTTGCTGTGCTACGCAGGATGTAACCTACACGCCGATAAATTTTGAAGCCATTCTGCTAAGCCAAAAATACATAAAAAATCGTCAAAGATGGGGGTGTCAAAACGTGCTCGCCCACTCACTATTTTGTTTTTTTTCACTTTTAACTTTTTGTTTTCAATTTATTTTGGGGCCTAAAAAATTTTATTATTTTTTTAATTTCTTAAAACGAGTTACTGATTATGTAAACTACATATCTGTAAATTTTCAGGGAATTTTCCAATGCCAAAAAATAATTAAAAATCGGCAAAGATGGCGGTCTCGAAAAGGTGCTGGCACACTCACTCATTTTAATTCTCTTTTTTTTTTTTCTTATTTTTATCATAGTGTTTATTTTCTGTATTTGATTTTTAATTCAAATTTGGTAACGAATTTGGATGTAGTGCCCAGGCAAATGTTGTTTAGTTTATTTTTCTCCATAACATATGTTTTTTTCCGGAATTTTTGGAAAACTTCGGTTTTTTTTTTGTTTTTTTTTTTTAAATCTGCGTTCGGCCCGAACGGCCAACTCCTTCCGAAGGGGTCCCGTACGTTCGGGCGTTCGGGTTCCGGCGTTCGGCCCGTCCCGAACGCCGGCAACCCTGTATATATATCGTCACAAACAGAACTGCCCGGTAAACCGTAGGCAGAGAGAGAGAAGAGGACAACAAACGAGTGGCTGTAACCCTGTATATATATGTTATATATATATATCGTCAAATATATATATATATATCATCATATATATATCGTCATATATATATATATATATATACTGCCACATGTGCAACTGGGAATTCATTTTTTGCATCCAAGACTGTTTGATATCCTGCGGGGTCTAAGTTGGGGGCAGTGCTCACATGTGGCAGTATACCTTCTTTTGTTTCCTTGTTTTTTTCTTTCGTTTTTTCTTTCCATGTCCAGCCTAGCCGCCTGAGTTCCGGATTATTTGCTGTTGCTCTTGTACTGGTACCCCGCCCGGCTATTGATGCCGAACCTAAATGCACCCTGTGCGCCAAAACAAAAAAAGAGAGTCTGTGCGGGCCTCATTTTGGCTGGTGCTGCCAGCCATTTCAATCCGGTACCCGAACCCCCGAAAAATGAGGCTGTAAACGAGCCGCATATTTGTTTTCCAAACAGGCAAAGGTACTGGTGACCCCCAGTACTTGGCCCATACATCGGCCCGTTAACACCCCGCACCTTCAGAAGGCTCAGGGTACCAGTCCTCAAAGGCTGGCACCGCCAGCCAAAACAAGTCTTTTTCGTTGCGCTGGTGGGTCGGTGCGAAACGGCGCGCAGCCCGTTTTCAGGCTCGGCCTCTATAGCTGGGCCAAGTACTGGTGGTGACGGGATCTCTTAGGCCTGGACCCCACTGGCTGGCGGCCTGGAAAAGTTTGGGCCCTGTCGTGTTTTCCAGACCCCACTGTGCTTCCCTTTCCAAGGAGGCATCCAGACGAGCAATGGGAGGGGGCATGTCAATCCGTTTCCAGACAACAGCTGGACGGCGTGGACCACACACCCTCGTTGTGGACCGTTTTTTGGACCGGGAGGCCGCTGCGGACATGTTTTTTGCCGTCGCACTGTTCTCCCAAGGGCCCGAGGGTCTGGGCCATCCATGCTCCCCTCACTTTACGAACGGCGTGGTGAACTGCCCACATCCGATGGATACATGACAACGCTGTGACTGTGATCGGAACGACATCGACCCTTGCAGACCAGCTGTCGTGGCCACTTGACGAGCACACAACCTTCGCGGACCCGTGCTCCTTGCCAAACCCTCCTCCTTCGTCGACGGCTACGGCTTCCCGTCAGTGCTCCGTACCTGCACTCCCATTCTGGATGGTCCGGCTGGGAAAAGTGGTTCCGACGGCAGGAGTGTGTTGGGGGGCGGACAGCCGCCGACGCTCCCAACGGTAATTTCCGTGCACAGACGGGTCCCGCCGCCCGAGCGGACCCCGTGAGGCCCTAGTGTGCTGCACGGTACTTGTGCGGCACCCGCCACACCGGGTCGCGCACGGCCACACACGGACATGTCCTGGTGCAGGCCGATAGAAGGCCATGGACCACAGCCCCGGCCAGACTTGCCTTTTCTGGAAACACCCCGGGGGGATTTCCTATTCGGGCATGTCCATCCGTTTCCAGTGCCGAGAGTCAAGGGTGGCGTTGGGGTCCCAACAAAACGCGGCGAGTTCTTTCCAAGCACGCTGGGCCGTTTTTTGTGGCCAACATCAGTTTCCAGCCGCCGGGCAGTGGGGTCCAGGCCTTAGACTTCCAAAGAGCATATTACTCACACTGGGACTTCTTCCACGTATTCTGTGGACCTAATTGCGGTCAGGTGCGGCCACTGCGGGTCGGAAAAACGACCAGGTACATACTGCAAAGTTCTAGTGTGAGTATACCCCAAGGAAATGCTGCCAACGAATAGATATCAGAGCTCGTTATTATTAAAAAAAAAAAAAAAAAAGGGAATATAGTAGTATACCTCAAGGGAAGTTGGGTCTGTTGGCCGATGATGCCTTGCTCATATAGGGGATCCACTAATCACCTGTTGTAAGGGACGCCGGGCCCGGTTCCCGGCTTTCGTGAAAAAAAAAGCAAAAAAAGAAAACGTGAAGTTGGGCCTGTTTTCAACAGTCCCACCTCTCACTCCTCTCTACTGTGAAAGGCGAAGGGCTGATGTTTATTGCAAATTTTCCCAATCATGGATGGTTTACTGAGGGCGTGTGTTCACACCAGCTGTCTCTTAAATGTATCTGACCGCATTTTCTGCCAGATCTGGATGTACTAGGTCGCAATTACATCCAAGAATGAGTAAAAAAGTCCTAGTGTGAGTATGCCCTGAGGCTAGTTTTTGTTTCATGAAAACAACTCTCCTTGCCCTATGTCGTTTTTGCAAGATCATTTCATCTTTAGAGCTTTTGACACCAGACGACGTGGTACCCTTCTTCCCCCCCCCCCCCCCCCCTCTCTGCTTGTTAAACTGGCCATGGCCGTGAGATATCATCTTTGAAGTCCGAACTGACCCACCCCAGATAGAATAGATTCAGAGTTATTTTTCTGATTGTATCTGGATTCGAACTCGGGTCTGATTCATATTTCAACTCATCTGATTGGATCTGATTGTATCCGGACGTGGACTAGGCCCGTTGGTAGATTCAGAGTTATTTTTGCTCATCTGATTCGATTAGAATTCGAACTCAGAAATACCTTTCTCGGTCTTTAGGCTAAAAATAGATAAAGTGCAATGTATCTGTTCTGATCGGTTTAATATCTGATCCCTGGTCCATCGGACCACACCCAAAAAAAAAAAAAAAAAAAAAAAAAACTCTGGTCTGTGTTTCAACAGTTCATGGGTGTGCGGACTGAGCGAGACCCAGTTGGTACGTGGCACTTCTTTTTCCCGTGGGTCTTCTGCACATTTTCACTGCACTGCATCGGTGTCCCAACATGTGGGATCCAAACGCATTTGACACAAAAAAAAAAGGGGGAGAAGTTGGAGAACACGTACGGAAAAAAAAAAAGAAGAGACGCTGGGAAATGAAGAGTTGAAAAGAAGTGCGATCGTATGTGCGCTAACAAAAATCGGGAGTTCGCATCAGATGTGATGACCCCTCGTTTAGGTTCCGCACAAGCCGGGGGCACTGGCTTCTCTGAGAGAAGAAAGCCATCCATGTGTGACACGTACGCAGAACTTCCACCTTGCCAGTCTCTCCCCACCATCACCAAACTTGTCATCCAGAAGCTTCTCCCAACCGACACACAAAATGTCTACATATGATCAAAAATCGGGAAGGTCGCGTCAGATGTGGTGGCACGTCACTTAGGTTCCGCACACAAGCCGGGGGCACATTGGCTTCTCTGAGAGACATCCATGTGTGACACTTATGCAGAACCCAGCCTCCCTGCCACTTCCTCCCCGTCACCACCAAACTTGTCATCCAGCAGCTCTCCCAACCGAAACACAAAATGTCTACATATCCAAAGGGGCCTCTGAAGTTACTCAAACCATTCGATACAAGAGTATCTGATTGCGTTTGAAGATGCGTCAGCCCGTCAACAGCGAAAAAAACTACGGTGATCGTCTCCACACACTAGCATGCCACGGAAAGTGGCATCAACAGAGAAAAGCTAAGGTGATCGTCTGCACACACTAGCATGCCACGGAAAGTGGCCAAACCTCCCCCGCAAAAAGGTTTCCGTATGTTCCACTGCTCTAAATGTTGCCCCCCCATCCAACAAAAGGTGTCGAAATGCAGTATGTCATCTCGCATAAGACCGTCACTACACAGTTACATATAGTACAAGAACTGGGACATGCTCGGGCGGTCTGCCGTCAGAGGTCGTTGGCATCGGCCAGCCCTGCGAGGCCTCCCGTCAATTGAGGGCGTGCAAAAGTCATTGCCCTGCACCAGGATGCAAGTCTGTTCGCGATCGGAATCGTGTCCATTCTGCGGGGATCCAATCGGCGCACCCCGTGCATCTGAGACGGGTGCCGGGGGAGTGGGTGCGAGTTTCCGAGGACGTCCTTTGCGAGGACGTCCTCGCCGGCTCACCTCGTGGAGAACCGGGCCTCCCATTGGGATCCTTTGTCCGCCTCCATCTCTTTGGTCCACAGCCATGACACCCACCTCCTTATCTGCTCGCCCATCTGCGTTCGAGTCGGGACGAACCTCACCGTTTGCTATCCCGCAAACAATGTCTGCAATGCCACCGCCCTCACAAGCAGCGAACTTTGGCGTGATAATCCCACGAGGAGCACCTGCGCCATCCCCAGTATCTTCCTGAAAGGTGACCCCACAAAAGACATCCTCGATAGCATCAGCAGCCCTGAAATCCGTGTCCGTGGAAGGTATGTCCTGTACAGATGATCCTGTTGCACCTGCAAAGCGTCTCAAGTGCTCAGGCAACACTCCGATAGGACATCCTTCATGCTGGTCCTCTCGAGCCATCTGTGCACCTGTCCATGCCGGTGTAGGGTGGCAATCTGCAGGCCCACAAGTCTCTGCACCCACAATATGGGGAGCAGGCTGACGTGCCTCGTCCTGCGCATGTGACTCAGCAATAATGCTTTGGGAAAGAGATGGGCACGTAGTCCCCGCTCGCCCGTCTGCATTGGAGTCGGGACCAACTTCGTCATTGTTTATCCCGCAAACAATGTCAGCAACATCGCCGCCTTCACAACCAGCGAACACTGACCTGATAATCCCCCCAGCGGTTGCGCCTCCGCCGCCTCCACTATCCTGAAAGGCGACCCCACAAAAGACGTCCTCAATTGCATCTGCAAGGCGTCTCAAGTGCTCGGGCAACATTCTCCTGGGACGTCCTCTATGCAGTTCCTCTCGACTTGTCTGTGCACCTGTCCATGCTGGAGCAGGCCTTGCATCCGCGTGCCCACATGCATCTCCACCCATTACATGTGGAGCAGGCCAACCTGCCTTGTCCTGCACAGGTGACTCTGTGAAAATGCTTTGGGAAAGAGATGGGCACACACGCCCTCCACCTGCTGTAATACCAGGGCACAACACACCACTATGTGAACCTGTCTGTTCACCGCCGTCGCCAACATTGGCGGAAGCTGTTAAATTGTGGGCTCCGCAGCGTGCATCTTGCACAGCAGCAGACCCAGACCCACTGCCTAGGTCCTCGCGACCAACACAAACACCCTCCTTGCCTAGACGATCCTGTCGGGGTGGCTCCCCATGAATGGAGGTGTCAGATCGTATGGCCTTTGCAGACGATCGTCTCCTATATCCTAGGCGTCTCAAATGTTCAGGCAACACTCTCCTAGGACGTCCTCCTCCTGGCCGGCGCCGTCGAGCTGCCTGTGCACCTGATCCTGCCTGCTCACCAGCGATGCCAACATGGTCCAAAACATGTGCTCCGCGGCATGCATCCTGCACAACAGCAGACCTGCCCTCAAGGCCCTCCCGGCCAGCATAAACACCCTCCTCCTCCCCTAGAGGATCCTGCTGTGCTGCCTCCCCATGGATGGAGGTTGTCGATTGTAAGGCCTGTGCCGACGATCTCAATTCATCTCCTGGGCGGCTCAAAGGTTGAGGCACCGCTCTCCTAGGACGTCCTCCTCCTCGGCGGCCCTCTCGAGCTGCCTGTGCACCTGTCAGCTGGTTGTGCGTCCGAGCTACTGTGGGCTGGCCACCTGCCTGCCCATGTGTCTTCCCACCTGCAATTTCTGACGCAGGCCCAGTGACGGAACCTTGCAGATGTGACCCTGCAATGGTACTATGAGAAAGGAGCGAACAGGTAGGCCCACCGTCCCCTACCTGCCCACCACCATTGCCAGCACCACCCAAATTATCTGATGACGGGCGTGCAGCATGCGGAACACCTGGCCAGCCCACTGAACCAACACAACCTGGCCCCTCCTTGCCAGAGGGACCATGCTCTCGGGACAGATCATTGGGAATATTGTTGCCTAGAAGAAGACTCGGAGCACCATGATCACCGTGGCTAGGGTTATCGCCTCTCACATGACTCGGCCGCCTTACCCTTTGTCTCGTCGGAGGACGAGAGCCGTCTGGACGCACCTTACAAGGTCGGCCCCTCTTGCGTCGGGGCAGGCCACTGATACCATCCTGCCCATCAGGGCGCAATCGTTTGAATCCGGCAGTGCTTTCACCGCGGATCTTCAGGAGGGCATACTCAAGTGCTGTGTGTGCCATGTCGTATGTGATGCTCTGCGAGGTGGCGCGATGAACATCTGCTCTGATGTCTTGAGGTGTCACAGTGGGATTCTCTCGCACCATTCCTTCAATTATCCCAGCCACCCATTTGTACCCCACATGGTAGTTGCGCAACTTGGCGTTTGTGATACCGGTGCAAGACTCAGAGTGCGGTCGATGAACGTTGACACAGACCGGCGCACCCTCGCGATCACAGTAAACGCGAGCAGAGATGTACCAATCACACCCGGGGGTTGTGCAAATGGCCCTGAATCGTGACCTCTCGGATTTTTTGGCCACGAACTCGAAATTGCCGGCCACAGCGTATCGCACCAATGTTGCGCGAAAAGCATTCATATCCTTGAACTGCTGACCCATATGGAGAACCAGGTCTCTGTCCACAACTGCGGTCATGTGCGCCAAGTCACGGGGAGGGAGGGGCTGCTCCTCATTGGGAGCATCGTTCGCCTTATCCGTATAAAACTTGTCATCCTCGGCCACTAGAGGCACAAGAGTGCCACCACCGACACACTTTCTAATCGCACGTGCATCGCCTTCCGCCTCCCCACTGTGGCCAAGACACGCCGTGGCAGGGGACGGGGTTATGGCATCATTGGCAGACCCTTGAGGACAAAATGGCGGCAGCCCGCGCATGAACCTTAGCCCCGTGTGCATACGTGCAATATCCTCCTCCATGTATTGCCGGCCGTCCAAGTGGACAACGCCACTTGCATCTCCCCGGTCCTTCATCGGTGGCGCTGTCTGAGGGGATGGAATTGGCTCACAGTCCCCCAAAACCGCTGCAGCGCCTGGCGGGAGAGCTGCCTGTTGTCGTTGACAAGCAGATATCTGCTCGCAGCCACCCAAAACCGCTGCACCGCCTGCCGGGAGAGCCGCCTGCTGTCGTTGATAAGCAGTTAGTTGCTCCTCCAAGGAGGCCACCTTAGTCATCAACTGCCTTATGACATGTGCCATGGTTGCACTGTCCTCAAGCCCTCCTACGCTCCCCATATGTGGAGGCGGCGACACAATATTACTCATACCCATGTTTGCAGCAATACCCATGAAAGGAATCTGCTGTGGCACATGATGTGCTTGTTGCATTATCCCACCGCCTTCATCAGTTGTCCCACCGTCCATAATGGCACCTGCGTACACGGAGAGAGACAGAGATACGATCACGGCCTGGTAAGGAGAAATGAAAACGAGTCTGCAGATCAATCAAAAGAATCGCAAGAGAGAGAAACAACGTGAGGGGGGGGGGGGGGGAAGAAATAAGTTGCCTAAGAGGAGAGGAGGAAGAAGAAGACAGGGAAGACGGAGTGACAGCACTAATCAATCAGCTGCTACAACAAGAACAGTTGCTTCAGGAATGGCAACAACCACAACCGCTGCTACAGCAGGAGCAGTTGACGATGACAGACATTCACGCAAACAACAAATTAATGAACGAAGGAATGGGTATGTAATCAATGGATAAATATGAAACCGGCATTCATTTTGCCAACCAACCAACCAATCAATGTTCGATCAATGTCAAGTCAATGCCCAGTCAATATCCAGCCGATTAGTCGATCAGTCGATCAGTCAGTCAGTCAGTCAATCAATCAATCAATCAATCAATAATCAATCAATCAAACAAACAAACAATCAAACAAACAATCAACCAATCAACCAACCAACCAACCAACCAACCAACCAACCAACCAATCAATCAATCAATCAATCAATATCCATCCATATAGATCAATCGATCCAACATCGATGGTATTGCAGGCAGCAGACTTACGGATCACAGTCAATGCCCAGCCAATCAGTCAGTCAATCAATCAATCAATCAATCAACCAATCAACCAACCAACCAACCAACCAACCAACCAACCAACCAATCAATCAATCAATCAATCAATCAATCAATATCTATCCATATGGATCAATTGATCCAACGTCGATGGTATTGCAGGCAGAAGACTTACGGATCACACTCACTCACTCACTCACTCGTTCACTCACTCACTCGCTCATTCACTAACTCGCTCATTCACTAACTCGCTCATTCACTAACTCGATCGCTCACTGGAACATTCACCCAATCACTCGTTCAATCAACTCAATTGATTGATCGGTCGCTCAATCAATTGATTAATCACTCCATTCAACTTCGGGGGTATGCAGGCACCATACATCTGGACCGCAGGTGCTGCTCAGCAGCATGGACATGGGGAGCACCAGCTACACTGCGACAGGAATAACCATCCTGGTAACCTCCCAGCATTCCACCACTGATGTATCCCTACTGGATTGGCTTAACGTCCCTATGATAATACCGCAACTGTTACCTCGAGTCTCAAGAGCGAAGACGAGGGAAGAAGAATGAGGAGAAGAAGGCGGGAGGACGGTTGTAAGCATGGCTCCTGCACAAGGATGGCCCTTGGTTCTCCTCGTTTTCCATACAGAGAAGGAAAGATAAGAGCATGGCCCGTGTGCAAGAAACGAGCCGAACCAGGCGGGAGGAAGGTTGTGAGAATCTGGACTCGATTTGGCAGCATTCCCGCACCCCCTTCCCCGGATTCCGCCCCCCTCCCCATGGAGTCAGATATCCTGATTCTGCCCCCCTTACCCCCCCCCCCTCTCTCTGGAGTCAGATATGCTGCAAAGGTTCTCTATTTCCCACTTGCAAAGAGTACTACTACTAGGCAGGCAACGAGAAGTGAAAAAAAAAGAAAAGAAAAGAAAAGAAAAGAAAGAAGATGCGAAAATGTAAAATGGATCCCATGTACGTCTCCTCATCCTAGCACAGGGACCATGCTAACAGCACCTGATCTGAGGGCATGCAGCAGGATGTGCAGGTGCAGGCGCTGATGCAACGTGCGTGGAGCAGTTGCTTCGGGCCGCGGCATCCGCAGCAGCAGGGTAATGCTACCGTCTTCACCCCAATACAACGGACGGTCATTTTTCCTGTATCTAGATTCGAAGCTGCCCGCCCCAAATACACCTATAGTAACCGTAGGTTGTGTTAGGCTGGAGGGGGTAGTATGCCGGTGCAGATGCAACTGTTGAACCCGATGCTTCTGCTGCTGAAGTACGTGCAGCTGCAGCAGTAGCCGCAGAAGCGGAGCAGCCATGATTGCAGTTGGTGCTGGACCTGCACATGCTGCAGGAACCGGCACAGCTGATAATCCTGTAGGTACTGCACCGGCAGCATATGCAGGACCTGCAGGTGCTCCCTACCCTCCGCACCCGAATAGAACGCCCGGTCATTATATGTGCTGTAGTTGGCACAGCTGACGGTCCTGCAGGTACTGGCCCAGCTGCATACCCTCCTCAGCCAAATAGAACGCCCGCCGCCCGGACATTATAGCTGTAGTTGGCACATCTGATGGTCCTGCAGGTGCTGGACCAGCAGCATGTGCAGGACCTGTGCAGGTGCTCCCTACCCTTCTCACCCGAATAGAACGCCCGGTCATTATATGTGATGCATTTGGCACAATTTTCGGTCCAGATGCAGCGATAATGACGGGGCGTTCTATTCGGGTGGGTGAAGACGGTAGCAACTGCTCTTGCTCATGCAGTTTGTGATGTATCGACATCATGGCATCAGGTCCAGTACCAACTGCACTTAGGTGCTGTACCAGCAGCATGCGCTGTACCTCCAACAAGCAATGAAGGTCTACAGTCTTCCCCCGAATACAACGTACGGTCATTATAGCTGAATTTGGGGTATCTTTCAGTCTAAATACAGCTATAATGACCGTACGTTGTATTCGGGGGAAGAAGGTAGTACTACCTGCAGCCATGCAGAATTTAAGTGCGGTTGGTAATGGACCTGATGCCCTTTTTTTTCCTTTTTTTTCGGGTACCAAAGAGATCAAATTGGACCTCGGTCGAGTTGGTACTGGACCTGTATGCCTTTTTTTTTTTTTTTGGTACCAAAGAGATCAAATTGGACCTGATTTTTTCATTTTTTCTTTCTTTCTTTCTTTCTTTTGCACCAAAGAGATCAAATTGGACCTGGAGCTGGTACCAGACCTGATGCCTTTTTTTTTTTTTTTTTTTTTACCAAAGAGGTCAAATTGGACCCTTTTTGTTTGTTCTTCTTTCTTTCTTTTGCACCAAAGAGCTCAAATTGGACCTCACGTATTAAAAAAAAAAAGAAAAAAAAAGGACCTGATGCCATGATGTCGATCTGTCACAAACTGCATCAGCAAGAACAGTTGCTCCCGTCCTCACCCACCCGATTAGAACGCCCTGTCATTATCACTGCATCTGGACCGAAAATTGTGCCAAATACAGCACATATAATGACCGTGTGTTCTATTCAGGTGAAGACGGTAGGAAGCAGCGGCAGCAGTGGGCAGCCATAGCAGCAGCCTCCCCGCTGTCCTCCTCTCCATTCCATCCCCACCTCACACCTTCTCCTCGGTTTTTTTTTTTTTTTTTTTTTTTTCGGTCAATCATTCTTTCCCCAATTTATGCGTGTCATCCGTGAATGCGCAGGGGGCCATTTTGCCAATTACCCTTCGCTGTATCGTTCTTTTTTTTTTTTTGGGTATCGTTCTAATATTAACACATGTCCCGAAGGACTCATATATATCGTCAAACAGACTATATGTATACATATACACATATCAGCATGTATATACATATATGTATCACGATATATATATAGTCACAACAATATCAGAACGCAAATGCGAAAAAAAGAGAAAGAAAAAAAGGAAGAAAAACAGAAAAAAATGAATTCAGTTTTTTATCTTCTTCCTTATAACTCCCCCTGTTCAGAACCTCTTGCGTACAAGGCCACCCACGTGGATGTAGGTTGAGTGGCTGCTGCCCCCACCCCCGTGTGTCATATCGACCCACTTGCACACAGCCAAAAGGCAAAGAGGCAAAGAAAAGAGGAAGGGAACAGCCAAATAATACAGAACAGGGGGCAACAAAACAGATCCCAGATGACAAGTCCCACATGCAAGCACCGCCCCTATATATCGTCACAAACAGAACTGCCCGGTAATATATGTGAGAATCGTCATCCGGGATTGTCTTCTCTTTCTTTTTGGTTGTCACAGTGGGATCGGAGCCTTTCTTTTCGCTTTCTTTGCAGACAAGAATGTTTTGATATCCTGGTTGGTCTCGTCCCGTCGTTTGGCCTGTGAGTTGGGGCGGTGCTTGCATGTGGGACGTGTCATCTGGGATTTGTTTTGTTGCCCCCTGTTCTGTATTATTTGGCTGTTCCTCTTTTCTTTGCCTCTTTGCCTTCTGGCTGTGTGCAAGTGGGTCCATATGACACACGGGGTTGGGCGCAGCCGCCGCTCAACCTACATCCACGTGGGCGGCCTTGTACGCAAGAGGTTCTGAACAGGTGGAGTTGCAAGGAAGAAGATATAAAAAAACGAATCCTTTCTTCTTTCTTCTTTTTTTCGCTTTTGCGCTCTCATATTCATGCGATGATATATATATATCGTCAAACAGAACATATATCGTCATATATATTATATTTATATATACCTCAGGGTATCCGTTGCCGGCCAGTCGTTGATGGTTAACCACAGCCGGGGTTAAGGTGGATTATCACTTACAGTCTAATGTAATCAGTTAGGGGATTCTGCAGACTGTTTTTTAGGGTTCAGCCTCCTCCTGATGAGTAGGTAGGTGAAACTCCGACGAAACAGTTTGTCACAGCCCCTCTCGTTTGTTGTCCTCTTCTCCCCCTCCCACTCTGCCTACGGTTTACCGGGCAGCTCGGGTTGACGATATATATCGTCACATATATACATAAAAAAAAACTAATATGGTCATTACAGGCGGGAAGTGTTAGTATGCCCTAGGTTAACATCCTTCACCACTTGCAGGTGTTCCTGATGGAAAGCCTCTTGCCCAATATGCCTCCGTCACATTGCATCTAGACGTGCAGCTGTCCAAGTGCGTTGACCTGAATCGGGACAAGAAGCCATCCAAGTGCATTCAGAGGCATTCTGGCAAGTACCCCAAGTTTTCGAGACATGCCTCCCCTTTAGTCCTGACTCTTGTAAACTCTGCCTGACAGCCATCTCCCACAGAGCGTCCTTTTTTCTTTTTCTTTATTTTTTTTTTTAGCTCAGTTGGTACACCCATAATCGAACAGAGGATTCTTTTTTTTTTTTTTTTTTTGAAAAGCTATACTCTTCTCTCAATTTCACCTCACACTAACTCTAGGTGTACCAACTGAGCTAAAAAAAAAAAAAATCTCTGTTTGAAATACAGACCCGAGATCGAAGCCAGAGGCGACCAGATGACCTGAACAAATAAATTCTGAATTACCTGGGGCAATCAGTTCAATGATGATATCCCACGTAGAATTCTTTTTTTTTTTTTCCTTTTATCTCTTTTTTGTTTTCTTTCCCTTGATCCTGAAATGACCGATCAAAAAAAATTAAAAAGAAAAAAGACCAAGATCAAAGGGCACATGCACAGGAGGATTGTTTTTTTCTTTTCTTTTTTTTTCTTTTCCATTTTTTTCTTTTCTTTTTTTGTTTCTTTTCTTTTTTGTTCTTTCCTTTCTTTTCTTCTTCTCTTTATTTTCTTTTCTTTTCATTTCTTTTTTTTTTCCCGTTTTTTTTTCCCCGAAAACATATGACTTAATTTGCTTTCAATTTCTCATCAAATGTTGAAGTCGGGATCCTCACAAGCTCTAGTACCAGGAGGGGGAGGGGGAAGAAAACGTTCTGGGAGCATTACCCAGGGTTTTTTTTTTTTTTTTTTTTTTTTTTTTCACCCAAATTTTTAGCTCACGGGGAATGGAACCCTGGACCGGGGGCCAAGTCCCACTTACCCCAAATCTCAATTTCCGACCATAGATTAGGATAGATCGACGGCCAAGAATGAAAGATCAGCGTAAGTGGGACTTGGGCCCGGCTAATCGTCAAACAAACGGGGCGGGGCGCCTTCTTAATTTTGGGGTCTGTGAACCCCAGACGGCGCCAAAAAAAAAAAAAAAAAAAAAAAAAAGCATAAATAAAAAGATAACAACAAACGTCACACATACCTAGACTACTTTTTCCAACCCGATTAGAACGCGCGGTCATCAACAGCTGTGTATTTGAACCAGCTTCCAGTCCAGATACACAGATATAATGACCGGGCGTACTTTTCGGTTCAAAAATCCGATCTAAGACCTACCCTACCCTTTTCCTACCGTCTTCCCCCGAACACAACGCACCCTCATTACGACTGTATCCAACCAAAAACATGGCTTGTATGCATTCAGAATGAAATGAATAGTGCGTTATGTTCCGGGGGGAAGACGGCAGCGTAGACCCTGAAAACCTACACCGGTTCCTTGTTCCCCGGATGGCGTCTTTTTTTTTTTGGTACGTATATGGCCGAAATTACGGCCAGATTCTGTCCAAAAAGTGTTGCCGCCTTCACTGTGTATGTCGTCGTCGTCGCCCCCCCACCAGTTTTATTGCGATGATGCACGGTGTTCATCATCTATCGCGTGCATCACGTATGTGACCGAAATTTCAGCCAGATTCTGAAGCAAAAGCCAAGCCAGACAGTCCGGTCACCCCCCCCCTCTACTAGATCCCGGCCGGAATTGTGTTAAAAAAAAAAAAAAAAAAAAAAAAAAGGTCACACAGCCCCGTTGATGTCGTGAAAGCTGCAGCAGCAGTCATCAACCGTCACTAAGTTAATTAGCTCCAGGGATTTGCGCTTGCGCCGGGGAGAGAAAGGGCATGCGGGAGATTTGCGCTTGCGCCGAGGAGAGAAAGGGCATGCGGGGGATTTGCGCTTGCGCCGCGGAGAGAAAGGGCATGCGGGGGATTTGCGCCTGAGAGAGAAAGGGCATGCGGGGATTTGCGCCTGGCAGCGAAAGGGCAGGCGGGAATTTGAGCTTGGGGGAGAGAACAAGGGGAAGAAATAGAAAAGTAGAGAAGCAGACGAGCGATATTCATCATCATCATCATCATCATCATCATCATCATCCTCATCCTCATCGTCTTCGTCATTATCATTCATAATCACGTAGTGGTGGCAATGATGCCGGTTCCGGGGGAAGGAGGTAGGCGGAGAAGAAGAAGGATGGATCACGTTGATGACTACGATGATGATATTGATGATGAGGAGGAGGAGGAGGAGGAGGAGGGGAATGATAAGAATGATGATGGGAATGATAATGATGATGATGATGATGGGAATGGTAAGGATGATGATGATGGGAATGATAATGATGACGATGGGAATGTTGCCTATTCATGAGGAAGGAGTGAGGAGGAGGAGGTGGAAAAGAAGAAGAAGAAGCTACATAGTCACCGTGATGCTCACGATGGACTTTGTGATGATTGATCATAATGATGAATATCAAGATGATGATGATGATGATGATGATGATGATGATGATGATGTTACCTATTCATGACGAAGGAGGCAGAAGAAGAAGAAGAAGAAGAAGAAGAAGAAGAAGAAGAAGAAGAAGAAGGAAGAGGGAAGAAGAAGGAAGAAGAAGAAAGGGAAGAAGAAGGAAGAAGAAGAAGGGCAACATAGTCATCCGATCCTGATCATAAACATAGTGATGATGAATCACAGTGAGGCATATGCTAATGCTAATAGCGGTGCTGAATACGACGACGACGATGATGATGACAATGCCCACCCGTTCATGAGGAACGGGGTGGAAGAAGCAGCAGACGACGAAGACGACGAAGACGACGACGACGACGAGCACCATATCCACCATGATGCTCACGACAAACATTGTGATGATGGATTGACCATGATGATTACGATCATCAAGACGAAGACGACAATCTTCCCCGTTCATGCAGAGGAGAAGGAGGAGGACAAGAACAAGGGTAACAAGAAGAAGAAGAAGGAAGAAAGAAGAAGAAGAAGAAGGAAGAAAGCACAAGAAGGAAGAAAGAAGAAGAAGAAGAAGAAGAAGAAGAAGAAGAAGAAGAGGAAAAAGGAAGAAGGAAGGAGGAGGAAGGAAGAAGGAAGAAGAAGAAGAAGAAGAAGAAGAAAGAAAGAAAGAAGAAGGAAGAAGAAGAAGAAGAAGAAGAAGAAGAAGGAAGAGGAGGAAGAAAGAAGAGGAAGAAGACGCAGTTGAAAACTCACCAGATGACGATGGTCATGAGACGGCTCTACGTGCAGGCTACGAAACGTCGTCGGTCTGAAGGCTCTTGCCAGGTAACCCTACCACATGTGTGCAGAGACGTCGCTCTGCTCTACCCTACGCAGCCGTGCGCCACCTACCCACTCACCGTGCCCGCCCACTACTCCCCCTGTTCGACAGCCACATCCTACCCAACCCCCACCACCTCCCCCTCCCCCTCCCCCTCCCCCCTTTCCTCCTCACGACGTCGCACCACGCCCCGCCACGTGTCACCCACTCCTCGTGCTGCCTGTTCCCTCCCGCCGGCCCGTCGACGCACACGCTGCCGCGCGACAAATCTCCGCATTCAAAATTTTCAGAAATTCGTCGATAACAACGAGCAAGGTCAGCGCTCAAAAAAACAAAAACGAAAAACGATGGGCGGTGGAAATTCGCGTACCCCAGCACAAAATCAATCTACCGAAAATCTGAAAATGCGTTTTTTTCTGAGCTTGCCTTTTATTGTATCCTGTTTTGTTTTGTTTTTTTTTCAGTGGCGAGCAAACTACCTTGCCTTTTATGGGTTTTTTCCCCTGTTCTTTCTTTGTGTTTTCTTTTTGGTTCCACTGGATTCGAACGCAGCTGTAGCTGTACTTTTTTTTTTTTTTTTTTTTTTTGTAGCTGTACATTTTAACAGTTTATGGGTGTACCAAGTGAGGGCATACTCACATAGGACTTTCCTAGACGTACAGGACCGCCCGCTGGTGTTTCTTTTTATTTTATTTTTCTAATATTTTATTTTATTTTTCTAAAGACCCCCCGGGGCTGCAGTATACTCTCGAAATGTGCAAAACGAGAGTGAATCTTCCGCTAGAATTATGGAAAGATACACGACCATGATTTTTGCATGTCGAGAGTGGTGCAGCGAGGCCCTTTGTCTCTCTACTGCGTCTCTCCACAGTGTCCCCCGTGCAAGTCCTTCATCACGTGTTTTGTTTTTGACACTTTTTGTTTTTGTTTTTAATTTCACATCACGTTTTTCGTCTCTCCACGGTGTGTCCAGTACAGGAGCATGGTCCCACTAGCAAACGGACAGAAACACCCAGCAACCTGTACCCCTCCCTTTTTTTTGCTTTTTGTTTCTTTCCTTCTTTTCTGTACCCTTCCGCTTGGGACTCGCCCCATTGCTCTCCAAATGTAACAAAATGACACCACCATATTTTTTGTGGAGAGTAGTGGAGCGAGGCCCTTCGTTTTTGCACGGCACTGCCTGCGGCGCACTTAGTGCCGAAGGACTGTGATAGTCCTCTGGATACCCCTGATCTGTATTAGGGGGGTCTATGACCAACACGGTCTGAGTGTGAGCGCAAGTGGGTTGTGTGCGGTGTGTGGGAGACTGTTGGGCATATCCTCTGCTTCTACCCGATGAGGGGTGGGGGATGATGAGAAAGGGAGGAGCGCGAGTGGGTTATGTGTGGTGTGTGGGAGACTGTTGGCCATATCCTCTGCTGCTACCCGATGAGGGGTGGGGGACGATGAGAAAGGGAGGCGCAGCTACTGGAAAAATGCTCGGTCTTTGCGTTAGCCGGACCCCCACCAGCGGCCCCACCCCATCTCTGACTACTGCTCTTGGGGCGGGGGGCAACATGATTTACCTCGTTTGCTAGGCCCTATGCTTGCAGGGGTCCCCTCTATATAGTCTTAGGAGTAGGGGTAGGAAGGTAGTGAAAGGTAAAAAGAATTTGAGAGAAAAACGTAGTGTAGTTTTTTTTTCATAATAAAAAAAAACACTACTGGTAGGACTTTTCCACTGAGCTCTGGACGCTATCGGCGCGAATACCCTTGCAAGCAGGGTTGCCAGGCCGAACGTACGGAGGCCCCTAAGCTGACCCCCGAACGCTCGGGCGTTCGGGTCCCCGTACAGGGCCCAAACCATAAGGGGTTTGGACCCCGCAAAAAAATATTTTGACACCTAAATATTATTATTTGTTTCTGCAGTTTTTTTGTGAGTTCTTTGTAATGTAAGGTATTTTCCTCTTAATTTTGAAGGCATTTTGTTAAACCACTAATACCTCCGCCATTGTCGAGAAATTACGAGGTTTTGCCAGTTCCCGAAGAAATCGGGAGTGGGACACATGGTCAGCAATGTCCCATAAATCTGAGTTTTATAGTGTCCGCGAGTGAAAGGAAACGGGGAAAGAAAAAAATGTTTTCTCTACTGCAATGATGTCGAGCAAGGCAGTATAGGAGGTCGTGCTCATCGTCTTCCTCCACAGAATGCACCTTACAGGTAAGGCGGTCACATTCTGAGTGTTACTGTTTTCTTTTTTTTCTTTGTTGTGCGTTTCTTACGAGTCCTCTGCCAACGAGGCTGGACGAAATCCGTAATCTGCTTAAGTTGTTCGTGATCTTCTCAAGCTGTGTTTCGTCAGATGATTGTAAGGCTCATCGCACTGGCACTTAGAGGAATGTATCCAACCATTTTCACGGTCGGATCCATATGCCCGATTTTTTTTTCTTTCTTTTTCGAATCTCACAATCTGGCCAAGGGGCTGAGATGCCCTCACTGAGGGCACACTCATACTAACATTTCCACAAATGTATATAATTGCAATCACGACCAACGCTTAGTTTCATTTTTCTTTTTTTTTCTTTTTAAGTTTCACAACCACAACTTTTCTTCTTCTTTTCTCGTGTGTGTTTTTTCCGTAAGAGTACCAGAAAGAAAATGGAGTGGTACCCAAGGTAGGCAAACTCGGAGCGCAGCGAAATTCAGGGTCGGCAAAAACAGGCTCGGAGGTACTAATGGTTTAATCCAAAAAATAATGAAAACCGACAAAAATGGTGGTGTCAAAACTTGCTTGCCCACTCACTAATTATTATTTTTTTTCTTCACTCACAAAAAAAAAAAATCACTTTTTTTTTTCCCTTTATTTGGCGGCATGAAAAAATATTATTTTTTCAAACCTTATTTATAGGTTCTCTATTATGTAAGATACACATATATACAGGGTATTCGGCATTCGAGATGGGCCGAACGGCCGAACCCGAACGCCCGAACGTATGAGACCCCTTGGGGGTGCGTTCGACCGTTCGGGCCGAACGCGGACCAAAAAAAAAAAAAAACAAATCATCAAAAAAATCTGAAAAAAAGATATGTTATGGAGAAAACTAAATTAAACAAGATTTGCCTGAGCATTACAGCCGAATTCCTTACCAAATTAAAAATCAAAAAAAAATAATAAAAAAATAATAATAATAAAAATAAATAAAAATAAAAAGAGAATTAAGTTTAGTGAGTGCGCGTGCATGTTTTCGACACCCCCATCTTTGGAGATTTTTCATGTTTTTTTGGCTTAGATAAATGCCCTGAAAATTTACAGATATGTACTTCACATAATAAAAAATCCACTAAAAACATTTCAAAAAATAATAAAATTGTTTAGACCCCAAACTAAAGTGAAAACAAAAAGTAAAAAGTGAAAAAATACGTGGGCGAGCGCATTTTGACACCGCCATCTTTGGCGATTTTTAATTCTTAGTTGGCTTAGCCAAATGACGTGAAAATTTACAGGCATGTACCGCACGTGATAGAGAACTCACAAAAAACAATTCAGAAAAAAAAAATTATTTTAAGGCCCCAAAACATTTTTTGGCGGGGGCCGAACACCGTCCGGTTCGAACCCCGTACGAAACCCCGAACGCCCGTATGTACGGAGGTCTGCCCGGGACCTTCGTACGTACGGGCTGGTGACCCTGCATATATAAATTTTTATGGCATTTTTCAAAAAAAAAATAAAAAAATCGCCAAAGATGGCGGTGTCAAAAACATGCTTGCCCACTCAATAATTTTATTCTCGTTTTATTTTTTTAATTTTTATTAATATTATTTACTATTATTATTTTATTTTTATTTCAAATTTGGTAAAGAATTTGGATGTAACGTTCAAGAAAATGTTGTTCAGTTTATTCTTCTGCATAACATATTACTTTTTCTTTTTTTCTTTTTTTTTTTGTCCGCTTTCGACCGAACTGCCGAACGCGTCGAGAAGGGGTTTCAAATGTTTGGCCATTCGGGTTCGTGCATTCCGCCTATCCTGAACGTCGGCGACCCTGCTTACAAGTGTATCCACCCTTGTTTGTACAGGTGACAAAGATAAAATTTTAATTGAAATTTGAAAGCCTGAACGAGTGTGATCGGTCCTCCAACGGTCAACGTTGCGGTTATGATACGTAAAAGTGGAGAGAGTGGAAGCACAAGTTTCTGGCGCGCATGATTTTGTTTGGTATGTTGTGAACCGACATTTTTTGCCATAATTTTTACTTTGGTTAAACTATGATTAAAAAGAAAAATTGGTTTGTTTTGATTGGTATGTTCGTTTATGGGATCTGCTTGCACGCAAAGACGACATTGTTATGGCCAGCATCAAGTTTGACTACTAGTACAACGTTCAGACGTAACTACAATTGTTTAGATTTTAGACGACGTTGGGGCCTATATAGTACGTAGCGCAAGAGAGTGCCTTGCTTTTTTGTGCAATTATTTATCATTGGGTTCCACGTTCGGCCTCGAAAAGGTGTGCGACACGGGTAAAAACCGCAGGTTTTGTCTACTAAAGTAAGAGCGAGATGTGGAAGAAGTGGCCACGAGTGGGAACCAAAATCGACAATGTCGCGTCCCTTGTGTGGTAAACGTGTGCGCTGGATATTAATCGGGGTTAGAACCCCACATGGTGGTGTCAGGCTTTCGTCTCAGTGGGCCCAACCGGTAGGCCAAGGTGATGACCTTGGTTTATTGATAAGCCTAAACATATCACTGATAGGACTAATATTGAAGTTGACCCCAACTAAGCTCAGACCTGGGCCTAGCCCTCTTGGTTACGGTATTGGACTTTCAGAATGCAGACAAAAGGAACAAAGTCAGTAAGTGACGCGAAGTAAGAGAGTGAGCGAAGAGGTCGAGGGGTCCAAGGTACTGCGAGACTTATTCCCGTTGGTTTTACCCCAGGGCCGATCGCTGAGCCAAATGGCTTCCCATTTTTATTCATAGGACCCAAACCCGGTCTGCTCGTGTACGAGGGCTATGACTAGTGGCTTGGTTTTCTTATTTTGTTTTATTTTTGGTGGAACGT